AACAATCCTTGATTTAGAATCAAAATGCAGATGCGTTGTTACCTCTGAAGGCAGCAATAGAATGCCTAGTTTCCAATTAAATCTACTTCAGCTTTCTACACACAATACCAAATACAGCAGCATTGAGCTGCTGTTTACAAATGAGGATGAAATTGAAAAGTTATTAGTGAAATCTGATATACTTATTTTGTTCTTCCAATAAGTATGAGTCTGAGCACCAGCTCGAGGAGACAACGATAACTCCTTGTTACCAAAACCTATTTCCATTGAAGTGATAAGAATTTACCACAATGAGATCCTGTAGAGAATCTAGAAACACCCTGATCACAAGCAGAATACTTTAAAGCGTATTAAAAAAGGCTAACTAGCTCCGGGAAATACAACCAAATATTGACGCTTTTAGAAACCAATGCCTTCAGCAGCCACTAGAAAGTCCCACGTACTCTATCGATGAACAAATTATACCTTTAACAGAAAAATATTAACTGTGAAAATTTTAAGATTGTAACTTTAAATTATAAGAAAAACTGAATGTTGACGAAATGTATACTAACTATGAAAATGAAATTAAACCAAGTTCTACAACTGTTCATCCTTTTGGTAATTTTTATTTCGTGACTTTGTTTTGGTAAAATTTCAAGGAAAAAAGTAAGAATATCTGAGGTGATGCAGGTGTGATATATTAATTGACGAAGATGGTGAAATAAGTATTACATTCCTGAAAATCTATAATAAGAAGGCTGTTTTTTAAGCGCGACGAAACTGATGTTGCTGGTGTTCCATTTGAACAAATTTTGGGAAAATTTCCCGTTCCTCAGATATAGTTAAAGAAACGAGAAGTGTTTTATAAATTTGAATAGCCTTTTAATATTTTTTGATATAATATGACTGTTTTCTCTTTCCATAATACGATTTAATTAAAAATTGGATGGAAGTTTACTCCATTGTTGATTAGAAAATTTATAAATCTTAATTCATTAAAAATTTAAAAGTTTAAATGATACTCATAATTCTTATTTAAACTTGTATTAAGCAAATAAACATGAGCAGAAAATTAAAATAAATAGATTTATTCATAGTTATGTTTTTATATGACTAATAAAAGCTGATTTTTTGAACATAAAAAAGTTATTCTTTAAAAAAACATTCCCTGATATAGGCAACAGTCACCTACGTTGTTTTTTTAAACAGTATACTTATTGAATATTACTGCATATTGTTACTAGGCTTATGAACTAGCGTATTTGCTTTATTTTTAGTTTCATTTTAAATTACTTTGTTAGATGATTCGAGCAACAAAACCTTAGAGACATTTTTTCTGCCAAATTGACCATGTTATTACAGAATTGTCCTTATATGTATCATCACCAGTATGATAGGTGATATAATTGTCCTTATATGTATCATCACCAGTATATAGGTAATAATAACAGAAACAGAAACTTTTTATTCAATATAGATTGTAAACAATACTTATTGTAAGTCCCGTTTTTCATTTACCACTGGCTCGCAAAAAAAATCTCTGTCCTGGGAAGAACCAGCAAGAAACCCAGAGGGACTATTTTTTTATTCAAATAATAGCTTACAATCATGTTTACAATTAACAACATAAGACAAATTAGAAATAGCTTGGTAGCGATCACCCTTCCCAGGGCTTATTATCATCCATAAATTCCTTAATATTATAATAACCCTTTTATACAAACTTAGTTTAATAAAATTTTTGAACTTTGCGTACGACAAATTTTGTATATTTTCTGGGATATTGTTTTAAAAGTGTATACATCGCCCCAAGAATGAATTACTGACTCGGTGGAGTCGAGTAACTGGTACTACTAGCTTGTGTCTGCTCCTAGTATTTACAGAATGAATATCACTTATTTTCGCAAAACTACTTTTATTTTTGTGTATGTACGTTACATTTTCATAAATGTATTGAGAGGCCAGAGTTAATATATTAATTTGATTAAATTTTTGTCTCAGTGACTCTTTTAGTCTTAAATTATATATTGTTTTAATTGCCCTCCTCTGTGTAATTTCAGTGTCAGTCGCGTGTCCCCATAGCAAAATACCATACGACATAATGCTATGGAAATAGCTAAAGTAAACTATTCTAGCTGTTTCAACACTGGTAAGAGTTCTAATCTTTTTACAGCATATGCTGCAGAACTAAGTCTGCTAGCTAGTTTTGATATATGGGGGAGCCATTCAAACTTTGCGTCTAGTGTGATTCCAGTAAAAATTGTGGTATCAACAAGACTCCGTTCTTCCCTATTTAAAATTATATTAGTATTACCATCTTTGATATTACGAGTTACGAATTTCATACATTTAGTTTTAGTTCCATTTAAATGCAAATTATTAACATTAAACCAATTGACTAACTTAGCTATAGCAGTAGCTTAGCTATACTAGGAATAATAAAGATTCAAAAATGTTGTCTTAAAAAGTTTAATTGATTAAAGAAAAGAAATTACGCACCCAAGCGAAGCTGGGGAGGTTTGCTACTAATTAATATAAAAATATATAATTTAGATCATTGCAAGTCACAATAATGAGGTCCACGACTTTTTTTTTGCCACGAAGGTGGCGCCACTTAAAATGAGATGTAATATTTGATTTGTAATGGGCAAGGTAATTTGTGCAAAAATTGTAAAATCTAATGTTCCTTTCTATACCATTAGTTATATTTTGTATTAATTATCTTAACAATGAATAAACCAAACCACAGGTATTCATAAAAATAGAAAAATTTAAAAAATTGTTAAAAATGTGCAAACAATTTAAGAACAAAGCACTGAGGCATTGTTTTGTGTATTAATATAATAGTCTAGAAACTGATAAACTTTTAATAAAAACTAAATTATCAATTAAATGACACTGTGTAATAAAAAACTTAACCTCAATGTCAACTAGTGACATCTGGTGAGCGTAAGATTATTTGCCCTCATTGGCGCGTACATGTATTAAAGGCCCGTTCCACACAACTGTGAGCTTCACAATCGTGACATATTATATGTAGGCCCAGGTTGATACAATTATATGGTATCGGAAAAACCCCGTCTTGGTCGTCTGAATTATCTGAAATCGTGAAATAATCGGATACCTAGGATTCATCATCAATATTACAGCCCTTCACAAGTCCACTGCTGAACATAGGCGTCCTCCAAGTAATGCCATAAAGCACGGTCTTGAGCCACCTGTATCCATCGACTTCCTACATGTCTTACCAGGTCGTAACTCCATTTAGTGGAGGGTCGCCGTACAGTACGCCTACCGGTACGAGGCTGCGACTCGAGAACCTTTTTTCCAATACCTAGGATTAATAAGTACAAATAACTACTTTTTTAACCTTAAAGTTAATGAGTAATAAGCTTGGGTCTGAAAGGGATACAATTAAGACACCTCACCAATATCTAATCTAACATAAAAATAAAATCAAAAGTAAAACTGATTACTGGCCTTGAACCATTTCATTTTGGAGAAATTTAAATTAATGAGGTATTGAGCCCGTCACAGATCAATAAACTGCAATCAGATTGTGGGAAACGGTTTTAGCAATTATTGGAGAAAATATTGGTCTCTAAAGTTCTCTGCGTAAGGCGCTGAACGTTTACCTTTACAACAGGCAAGTCAACCGCCAAGCATTGTGAAAGACAACAGTGGTTGCGGTTCCGAGTTATATAAAGTACACAAATTTTATTATGCTCCATAGATTAAGCTGTGGGCCACAGAACAGGTGGTTACAGTTGATCCCTCAAATATACAAGGTAAAAAATACTAACTCGCCATATTTTCTTGAAATTTAATGACCACATTATTATATGTTGAGTATTTTACGTAAAAACAAATAACTAAGGTGGTCCATAAATAATACAATTGATTAAGGAGATAAATATATTTCAGATTGTTCCATAATGAAGCTACATTTAATAGCTTATGGATTTTTGCAACTCGCAACGGCGTTGCCGACGACCACGCTTGAAGACTTGGAGGTAGCCGATGACGCAATTTCAGTCGGATCCTATATTAGGGAAGTTCGAGCAGCAGCGGTAAGAAATATATAATATTTTTAATTAAAAGTAGCCAGTGCTTTAGAAGTTTTTGGATTCTGTCATACAAGTAACATTTAGAATTTCGTTCTGTTTATCCAATGACACGAAATTACTCAAAAGTTGGACATTAATCATGAGAAATGGACCGCGAATATAATATAAATAGACGGCGGAGTATAACGATGCGCCGCTCTGTATAGCGGAGTGCCTGACAAACAACCAGGGGAGGGGGGACGAGCTATCGTGTTTTAAGGAGGGACGGTGGTGATATGCGACGGAGAACACCATGGGGTTTTAATCAGTGCGATTCGGATATATCGCATCGTTACCCCTGCCATAAAAATTTGCCATAAAAAGGGGAATATAAAACGACCCACACAATTCGTTATCACGGAGAAACACAAACTTACTTTCAATAGTCTCCGGAAAATACGAGTATCATCGTGAACAATATCGAGTAGCAGGCCATTACGCAATGCTGAAGCATGCTGGTGGGAATTATTCCACAATTGTTTTATGTTTTTTCATTACGACAATATTATGTACAGTGTGAAAACTAGAAAATCCTAATGCTTCAGATAGTTGCCGGTGTTGCCATATAATTTATGTCAGACTTGAAATAATCATACCGGTGATAGGCAGCAGTTTCAAGTGTACAAGACATCCTGTGATTGTCATTCCACCTACCAAGTGTGACGATTAAAGCAAACCCTTGCTTCTAGCAATGCTAGGAGTAGTATAACCTTTGTTTTATCCAAAAAAAACTTTGACAGAGAATTTTTTGAGCGATCAAAAAATGGATAAAATAAATGGTACTAATAACCGATGAGGAAGAAAGGTTCTCGAGTGGCAGCCTCTGTGCAGTGTGAAAAAAAAATTGCAGTATTTTATGAATATTGAACTTAAAAAAACCTCGTTAACAATATCATCATACAATAATTTCAGTAACTTTCTCTTCCAGCCGGAGAATTACCACAAGTCTTATGAGAACGAAGGCGACGGTGAAATCGGTTACTCTCGAAAGAAGGGAGGTGGTGGTAAAAAGGGACACCAACACTTCGACTCCTTCCACAAGAAAGCTGGGGACAACTACGAGTTCGAGAAACAGGACTCATATGGTCTAGACGACGAAGGCCAGGACAAAGCACACAGTCATCAGCATGAAAAAGGTGAACAAAGAGCCCGGCCGCTCATAAGGCGACCATTGAAATTTCTAAAACGGTTCTTGAAATAGTTTTTTTTTTTTGAAACCAAATTAGACAGTACCATGCAAATAGACTCTTGAGATCATTTATAGGAAATTAAGTTGAATAAAGTAGTAAATGTCAAAAGATTCGGTGAAGATAGATAATTTATTTATTCAAATGCGAGAAAAAAATAAAGGTCTTGAAGTAATTATGAAATTTTAGTTCTTAAAGTAAAAGAGAATAAGTTGGCACTGTGCATAAGATATATTTTTATTTATAGTTCAAAAATACCAAGAACCTTCACATGAGACAGATGAAGAAGAACCATTAGAAGAAACGAATGAAAAACAACATGAAGAACAAAGGTACATTTCTAAAAGTTTTATATATAAAGTACTTCATTAATTCATTACATCTTGTCGAAAGTATACTTTTGAACAGACGTCTTCCCCATAGATTGCCTTAGGCCGTGTTTCCACCTCCAAAAAAAAAAACTTTTGCAAGAAGTGTTCCGCAGTCTATGAGACAGTAGCTTGCAGATGTACTCGTAAACTACGTAGCAAGCGCACTGGCGACAGTTTGTCAAGCGTTTCCTGTTCCAAGTTGAAACATTATCTCTCGATCTCGCTGGTTATCGGTCTAGTTTCGTATATCTCGCAAGTAGTACACTAGATTTAAATAGGAATTCAGAGTAATTCATAATTTATGAGCATGTCTATCTTTATAGAATGCATGAGCTACATCGCATATTACGGGTTGATTATTTTGAATACCCATGTTCGTATTCCCATTGAAAGGAAAGTAGATGTTGGCATTATTATAACTATGTTTTACAAAGATTAAAAATAAAAAATGTATTTATTATTTTAAGATGTTACACCTCTATTCAATATAGGAAGTATTCGCGAGTTTCTCACGAGATATTTATTGTAAACAAAATTTCAAGAATTTACGCGATATGTAAACGGTATTGCAAGAGACTTATGCAAAATTTCCGCGAGTTTTCTTACAGGTGAACAGGCGGCCTTAGAGAAAATAATAATTTCTATGTTTGCTACTCTTGGTAGGCGAGTTGGTTGATAGTTTTTTAATTATTATTAAGTTGTTATCAGGAAAATTCTGCCTCCAACAACGTCTCTTACGCCATCCCCATGTTTAAGTAATAAGAAACGAAAATTTTGTGAAAATAACTTCTCTTGTTATTTATCGTATAATGGCAACATAATTAATTGACCCATCCCCTCACGTCTTATGAGAGAAGAACAACAATGGAAAAATTTACGCGTATTGCTGCCGCAGAAGAAATAATTGTGGAAATAGTATTTTAACTTTGGAAGAGTTATAGAGTTTAATTATGAATGATAATACATTCATTGCAGTTGAATGGTATAATCTAAATGATATACAATAAGCTAAGTTAATTCTACTATGCCTCTAACCGTCGCACAAGTGCAAGCAATAAGTTGACAAAGTTTTAGCGCAATCTGATGAACGGTATGGCAGCGCATAAAATAGAAACAAACAGAAATTCATTTTTTATATATTAGAAGATGTTGCAATGTTGTTACTTGCTGTAAAATTTAAATTTTTCTTTATTATCTACAGTCTGAAAAAGCTCACTGACAGACATGTTCCCCTGCCGAAGTAAGATTTGCAAGATTGGCAAGCGGATCGATGTATCAAAATATTTTCAAGTATTTCTCATATTCGCCTCTTCTTTAACACGGGGACGAAATGGCGTATTTTTTATGTTACTAACACATGGCAAGTTACATATTAATATTAATATCCGATATGTAAAAAAATCTTAGTTATATAATGAGAAGTAATAACACCTTACAGATTAGGAGATAGTGATGGCAACGGTGGTGAAGAAGCACATGGACACGATCCAGCCGACTACAGGCTGCCTGAAAAATACACCTACGGTTCAGGAGATGAATACGACTTTTAAAATATTTACTCGAGAGTTTCCTGTCGTTGACATGAAATAGGAACTGTTCGCTAATCTATTGACTGATCTGTTTGACTGTGAAAAATATTTAGTAAGTTTAGATTTTAAAATAAATACATCTATCAAAAACAATACTACCATTTTACTTTATTTCATTGCGTAAAAAATACTATAATAATATTTATTTTCTATTTTCGTTATAATTTGTATATGAGGTAAATATTTACCGTAATTACAGAAAGCAAAAATTTGTTTTTTTTTTCTTGTAATTGTTAAAGTCTAATACTACTAAACCTATTTTAAAATATCTTTTACTTACAGAAAGCTACATTATCAGTGAGTAACAAGGGCTATATTTTATATAAAAAATAGGAATCACTAGGAATCCAATATTGTAACCCAAGGTATCAAAAAATTGTCAATAAAAGACATTACTTAGCGTACGCTGAGAAAACTCTTGATGGTGGAATAATATAATGTACTAGGCGTTTATAGGATTTATTAATATTAGGTCTTTCTTTACATATGAAATTGCCTTTTTTTATGAAATAAGTTATTATGTAATTTTTTTCAATTTTTTTTATTTTAATCAATCATATTAATCACCATAGAATACTATAATACACAATAGAATGGCTGTCAACCTTACTTTGTAGAAGAATTGGCGTCGCCGGGGGCACACATACAAGCAATTACGTCGTATTGTCAGTTATCACTACTCCAAACACATTTTAGACTTTTGATTAATGTTGTTAACACATAAATATTTTTTTTATTTTTGTTTCTAATATTCACAAAATATAAATAGTTTCGACTTACTGGTTGTGGAATATGCCTCCCTTATTTAAATTCCATTTACCGCTGTTCTTTCGACACGTAATTATTGCACAATTTGCCATTTTTTAAATAATTTGCATGCTGCAATTGCATTCTGCATTGCGACGCTTGACACGAAAATAGTTTCCAATTTTTTGATTGTGTTGACATTTATACGTCTGAATTGACGTGTTAGTTACATGTTAGTAGCTACACGGGCTCCGTGCACTCCCCCGTTCTATTATGTTTGTATTATAGTATTCTATTGTAATCACCCAAGTAATTGATGCATTTTTTGCCAACGCAGTGGCAGTTTATTGATGCCCTTCTTGAAGAAATCAGCTAGACGGGAGGCCACAAATTCTTTAAAGGCATTTTGTACTGATTCTCGGGTATTGACTTTTTTCCTGCCAAATGTTATCCAAATTCCGGAAAAGTAGAAGTCTGTAGGCGCAAGGTGTGGTGAGTACGGAAGATTACGAAGAGCTTCAAATCCCAGTTCTTGTAACTTGAAGACCGTCTGTGGTGCAGTATGATGTTGCGCGTAGTCGTTCAGGAGCAGCGGGGACGAACGATTAACCAAAGCTGGTTGGAGACGTATGAGCACCTCCATCATCGTATTCAGTCCTTTACAGTAAACATCTGCAGTAATGCTCATTCGGTTTGGTAAGAAGCTGTGATGAATCACACCGACACCAGACCTTCAAACATCACTTTCTGAGGTAAGTTTTCGTTTAGGTGCTGAGCGAGGACCCAACCAACTTGCTGAGATGTCTTATATTTTTGCAAACACTACACATTTAAATAAAACTAGTTTTTACGGATTTCATTGCGTTTATTAACTTATTTTGTGGTTACATGATCACGGGGGGGGGGACTGAAGGATTCGACATCCCAATGTCATAGTTAACCGTGGCTACCACCAGATTAAAATTATAAAATTTGTTCCGATCTATGCTATATAAAATTTAATATCTTGAAGTCTTGCACTTGTAAGCTTTGGTTACGATTTAATTTTATTAATTATAGGATTCCGAGCAGATGGTAGCACCCAGTCATCTTCTCTATTGAAATTAGAATGTATTTTTATTTCAATAGCTTCGCGAATCATCCTTGGAAAGAATCGGTGTTCTTTAGCGAGGATTTGTGGTCTATTAAATCTGATGTAGTGACGTGGGCGATCCGGGACGTGTTCACAGTCTGCAGACTTCCCGGAGCGTCGATTTTTCACGTCAGCTATGTGTTTTTAAACGCGGGTTTTTATTCACCATTATCAGCGGGGTTTTATTTGTCTTATGTAAGAGACCACATGCAAAATCAAACTTGTACACTCCTGCATCTTGTCCCTCTGACATTACACTTGACTGATGGTAGAAACTGACTAATCTTCTTCTCTCTTCTTTATCTGCTTTAAGTATGTTTTGATGGAAGCACGCTTTAAGATGTAGCCAATTTTGTCAGTGACATCTCTGACATATGGCAGTACAGAAGGCAAACACTCAACTGTGCCCGGCTTCACTCGTTCACTGTGACGCAGGCGCTGACCCGAAGCTTCTTGTCATGCAAAACTTGCTTGACGTGTTGGAACTCGGCGGCCATGTGTTTACTGTCACAGATCCCTCGGGCTCTCTGAAACAAAAATTTACCCACGATAACTAACTGTGAAAGATGGTGGTTAGAATCACCGTTAAATATCTTTCTTTATGGATCTAGAAAAGCTAAAGAATTGTTTGCCTCTACTACTACGTTCAGAAATATTTTCAAAACTTTTCTGAAGATAACCCTAGAGAAATGCCTAGCTATAAAAACTATGAAGTAAAGATTTGTTTGTTTATTAGTTGCATACACTCAATTTTAGACATGATTTTTTTTCTCCTAAGTCATTCAGAGGCACCATTTTTTGTAATTTGTTGTGTTGTTCGAATTCCGTCAGCATAAAAAGGGCGTACGTAAAGAGGAAGAAAGATCCTTTTCCTTCCACGGCCATAATCTGTATGGACCATAAGAAATTAATTTATAATTTCCAGTTTGTTTTAATAAAACTTGGCATTATGTACGTAGTAATATAATACACGTATGTGGTACAAGTGATACTGAAAGTTCTTAGAAAATCAAAAACTGAACAAACTAGCAAGTTATTAGTTTTATTATATCTTTTCAAAACAGTGTTCATTTACATCACTACATCGCTGCATCCTATGGAACCACTGAGAAATTTTTGCTTTTTGCCCACTCGTCCTTAGGGGTCTCTTCGACGGCATTTTGAAACGCAGCCACTGCTTCCTCGGCGTCCATAAAACGTTTTCCTCGAAGTTTTTCTTTTATTTTCGGAAATAAATAAAAATCCGAAGGTGTGAGCTCGTGGCTATAGGGTGGATGACCTAGTAATGTCTGACGTCGCCAAGTAGTCAATTGTTTGCTTGGCGGTGTGCGACGAGGCGTTGTCGTGGTGAAGGAGGATCCTACTGCGAGGTCGTTTCTCCCGACCTTTTTCCAAGACTAATGGCAAACAATTATTAGTGTACCACTCTGAAGTAACTGTTTTTTGATCCTCTAAAACAACTGTTGCGTAATGACCTGTCCTTCCGAAGAACGAGGCCAACATCTTTTTTCCCACGCTTTGGCCTCTCTTAGTTGGCAACTCCTCGGAAGGAAATACCCAGACAGCAGACTGTCTCTTAGTTTCAGGATCATAACAATAAATCCAGCTTTCGTCGCCGTTACGTTTATGTTATGTTATTTAAAAGATGTAAAATATCACATATTATGAATTATATACATAGGTACCAATGACGTCACAGTCATCGATTCTACCGATTTTACAAAGGTATAATATACTTTTTAATGATTAATAATGAGTTATCATCTATATCATTAATGTGTTGTGCCTGAATGCAAAAATACGAGCATAAGAACGTCGGGAAAGTTATGGATTAAAGTGCAAACCGATTTAAATATGAGAAATACTTGGTTAAAACTGGCAAGAAGAGACCCGAAGACATTGTCTACAAAATCTAAACTATACTTTTGTGAAGAAAATTTTGATGTTAGTATGATTTATATTTAACTATCGTTTAATACAAGACAAAACATCATGAGGTGAAAGGTATTGCAAATCAAATTTTGTAATAAATTACGTTAACTCAGATATTATAACTAATGATTGCTAATGATTGTAATTATATAGTACGTTTCTAGGGCAGGCGGAAAAAAGTACATTGACCTTAGACGATATCATCGGGGTAGGCAATCTTTTTTGTTTAGGTTCATTTTTTTATCCTTTTATCATTACATACATCACCAGTGTGAAAGATAAGGGTACCGAGTGCGAAGTTCTTTACAGACTCTATGTCTATTATTATATTATAATGAAAGAAGATTATCCTGTACCTAAATGAATTTAAAAGCAAATTAATATTAATTTAAATTTATTATTTATAAATCATAATCACGATTTTCATTATTACGTTAATAGTAGGTAAGTACTATAATAAGTAAGTAGGTAGGTACTTGTATAAAACATTACCACTTCTTAACAGTCAGGGTAAAAAGAAGAACTTTTAATGCTAAGCATTCTTAAGCTGCCAACCTTGAAGCATGCATAAAACTTCTCATAATTGATTGTCAGAGACACTTGACAGACTATTCATCTGTATCTATTTCAGAATCATTTTATGATGATGAAGACGTAGAAGAGTCCGTCACATTGATTATAACCTAAAATATCGGCAGTCTTCTTTTTTATATCCGCTTTGAATCGATATACGTCACATAGATGTTTACAATCATTATTTTTTCGTTTTCCGAAATATGCGACACTTTCCGCTTCTTTCGTGGTGACGTAAAGTCTTTATGAGATTTTCATGTCAATGGACCCGATTTCATACTAGTGATAATATATAAAACGTCACAAAACAACAACAAAAACTTTAATACAAAACGTAATAATACAACTAACAAAACAAAATTAATAAAAATTAAAACAACTACTATAACCGAAAATTTTAAATCTCAAGCTATCTACGCAAGCGCATCCCAAAGAAGAATGAGGAATGAGTTCTGCTCCATCCACTTTCTCGAAATTCGAAAATCGCGTCGAAACAGGTTTATTATCTCTGAATGACCGCTTCCTTCACCCTACCCCGTACCATGAGACACGCTTAGCGCATAACGATATGTAATCT